GCCACTATAAAATTGGTACCCGGAGATGCTCCCCCAACCCGACAGCGTCGGCCAACCATTATTACCACTTCAATCTCCTATCATTCTGTTCTCTATGAAAAAATCAGCGGCTTCTTGTCTAGCACTCTGTTATCCTAAGTAAATTATTGTTTCTGAGTAATCTGTTCTAACTTCTTGGCAATATGCCGCTGTATACATATCTTTATCCAGTTCTATTACCGTTCCCCATATTTATATGACCCTGCTGTCTCATTTTGTGCAATAGTAAACAATATACAAAACAGTAACCTAAGGCTGGACTGGGGAACTTTTCCTTTAGGTCCAAAGGTCAACTACCGTGATAATAAGTGATATTCACTGATACAAAATATCTTTGAAAAGGTTTGGTAATGGGAGTGCAGTGTCAACAGTGATTTTTGGCGAACAAGGGAAATACGGGATGAGCAGCAAAAGTTTGTGGTCAAGTTGGTGCCAGTGGGGAGGGGGCCCTTCCGGAAGGGTGGAGTCAACTTGGGACGGCGCTGCGCTTGTACGGAGTACGCGATTTACGGACGGTCTACGCGGATTTGTGTTACGCGATACGCGGGTTGTGCGAGTCTGAGTCTCGTGCGAGTCTGGTTTCACCCACTGGCTCCGGACCACGCCCAGCGCTTCGGCGGCGCTTCCCAAATACACGACCACTCGGTCGAATCGTATTCGTCGCGGGGAACGGGGACGCTTCAGCACGGGGCAAGCGGGGGTGAGGTTCCTCACTGTGAAAAGCCTGCCGCAAGTTTATGCAGGGAATGCAAAAAGCTTCTGCAGCTTAGCTGCTCAATTAGCATATTTCCAACTGGAATTCAAGACAATACTTTTGATTTTTACTTCTAATAAGAGCTGCGCTGCGATTTCCACGTTCGACAAGACGCATAGGATACGCCACGCCTTTGACTTCTATTAACAATCATACCATTGGAAGCCCACGAGTGCATGAATTCATTCAGATAAAATATGTAGGTTCTTTTAAAACGAAGAATCAAACGAGTACTGTCGATAAATAAACCACTCACTATGTGCACAAAAAGGAACATTGTTATGTTATTTGTTTAGGATTGCGCCATGCATTCTGCTTCCGCACAAACCACAGTTGCAATGAAATATTATTTGGCCTATTCAGTGGCTGCGGAGGGCGACCGATATTAATAGGTCCGAAAGTAGTGTTTATCCCTTCCCAGAAGAATTCGACACACTTTTGCTGACCAACGAGGGATGAGGGGTTATCTA